AGATGCACATGGCCATTGTAGCGGGGGATAGTTTCTCCGGTAAAGATAGGTCGCATGGAAAATATCGGATGAGGAGTCTTCTTCGAAATACACCTATCGGGTCTGACACCGGTTACATATTGTTGGATTACCTACCGTCGTCTTAGTCGCGCAAGCTGGTTTCTTGCTAAAGCGTTTACTAACACCACCCTTCTTCTAGTGAGTCTCTTCTACCCGCAAAAAGCAGTCTAAACGTATTTTGGGTACAATTAGCTTCAAATGCTGGTCCTTCGCCTGCGGATGCTGGCTACTCATATCATCCGCGAGCCTGTTCTCTTTTCCCTTCACTACTATGTTTCTGATAGAGACTAGAAACCCAGATAACTGCAGGGACTTTTTAGTGGCACTGTGCCAATGGCTACAAGTATCTGACGCATTGTGCTGCCAATCTTTATTACAAAGCCATCGACAGCTGCGACTACCCTGAGAATGTGCTGGAACAATTTCACTAAGTTATGGCGGAAACTGAAAGGTGTAGAACTAGTTAGTGTGAAGGTGGACTTGATAGAGTCTCCTTGGTACTAGTATGAGTCGCTCAATTAAGCACATTTGCAATCAGAGTACCAAAAATTATCTGAAGCCCCTCTACCAGAAGAAATATACAGCTTGTGCGTAGATGTGCAAGCACGTCAACAGTCCTAGTGCCCATGATAGGAGAAGCATTGGAGAAGCTTTTTGCATTGTAGACATCCGACGCGCTGTCCCTGCCACGAAATGACTACGAGTCTAGTCAGTGAATAGAAAGCCCGATATGGCAAATCGCAGCTAGACCCTGTCACATTCCTATCTATGAAAGAGGCAATGGGGCACATCAAGCGTGGCACCATGACGAGTGGGGATGCTCTTGCAATCGTGAGCCTCGGAGACATCACACTACCGAATTGTACAGGGTCTAAAGACAAACCAAGGCTATGGCAAGACGGTGGCGCAGGAGAGTATGTCGACATTTATGTGCGTGGTGTATGTAGAGATGACGTTGAATGTGGTTGAGTCTTGGCCACCAGGCCAAAGCCGGGACCGTCAGCCCCTGCCATCAGTTGGGAGTTCGGACTTGGTTGTTGAGCAAGGTTGACGATCGTCAGGATCCTCCTCATCTACCCTGTCAGTCTCTCTCTCTTCGGACCTGTCGACTGTCGTCGATGGACGAACGGGCAGAGGCCAATCTTCTCCGTGCGTATCTGTATGACAGTGGAGCGCAGGGCATGGCATTGTGATCGGTGGAGCTGTAAGTTTTTGACGTTGGTCGTGGAGTAATCTTTTATAGGTCCTGTTCTGATTTTTCTGGTGCTATTCGTTTCTCCATCCCATCTGAAATTGTCTTATGAGTATGTTGGTTTCGGCGGTTTCGAGCTGTCTAGCAAAATGGAATCTCGGCGCCGTTGCGCTTCTAGTGTCTTGCTAGATACATCCACTGCTCCCATTTCTAATCTGTCTGCGGCCAGTGGCTTCTTTCGGTATTCGGTCTGCTGTCTGATCACCCGCGATGCCCTCTTGCGCTGATACCTAGTCGAAGTCGATGTCATGTTCTTGGTGAAGGTTCCCTACCAGAGCCTAAGCCATCCGTTCGATGACAAATTGGCCTAAATTGACCCTGGTTCCTGGAAAGCCTGTAGTGAATCTGATACGTCGTGAAAATGGCTGCCCGCTTGGGGTGCGTTTCTCTATCATAGACAAATAAGCATTTAAAGTATTGCCTCCCTCCTCATTCGCTGCTCGCTGCCTCACGAATTCTTTTTTTCCATTTATAGATTGTGGTGTCAGCAATGCCTGTTAATTTTGTTATCTCTGCTACACTCTTATTCTGCTCAAGATAGTCCAAGACTTCAGACCGCGTACGTAGGTCCGTTGATGCCCGCGGAAGGCATTTTCCAATGGCATGCAATTGTTCAGGTCGAGTCAGTGATTGGAGAGCCTCTAGAAATGCCTGCTTTGGTAAAACTTGTCAGCCATAACCGCGCTAACAGGGTGCCAATGAAGGAGATCATAGAGTGATTGACGGGTACTAGGCCCTATGTTAGAACACTCACCTGGTTTTTCCACCTCTTGCCATAAGCACCCACAGCTCTCTCTTCTTGACCACTTACCTCAGTTGCAACAAGCCTGGCAGTAGTACCACCTTGGAGCCGGTTTCCTCTACCAGGTTGATCAAGTCTGGCAGCAGTATCTCCTTGGAGCCAGTTGACTCTACTAGGTTGATCAAGCCTGGCAGCAGTGTCTCCTTGGAGCCAGCTTCCTCTGGCAGCAGTATCTCCTTGGAGCCAGTTTCCTGTACTAAGTTGATCAAGCCTGGCAGCAGAACCTCCTTGGAGCCAGCTTCCTGTATTAGGTTGATCAAGCCTGGCAGCAGAACCTCCTTGGAGCCAGCTTCCTGTATTAGGTTGATCAAGCCTGGCAGCAGAACCTCCTTGGAGCCAGCTTCCTGTATTAGGTTGAAGTGCTAGGTTGATCTTGGAGCCAGCTTCCTCTGCTAGGTTGATCTTGGAGCCAGCTTCCTCTAGGTTGATCAAGCCTGGCAGCAGTACCTCCTTGGAGCCAGCTTCCTCTACTAGGTTGAATTTCAGCTATTGCGTTGCTAGGAACTGCTCTGGCTTCTCCGCTGGATTGTTGAGTTGCTCCTTCCCCGGGTCCGATAGTAATTCTTCCAGTGGGCAGATAAGAAAGACCACTGCTACGTTCAAGAGTGTTGGCTATGCTGGATCGAGGAGCACATTTAGATCTGAACGCCAGATTAGCAAGACGAGGATTAGCCAAGTCAGGACTGGTACTCCAAGGCAAATGGGCCGCCCCGGAGGATCCTGGTAGTCCATGGAGTGCAGGTGCACTTGTTTGTCTTGGTCGCCTTTCTTGTGGTGCTCGAACTGCCGGCATAGGTTCTAATGCAGCAGTCGTTGCGTGCTCAGATATTGCGGAAGGTGTGGCCATTGCTTCTACTTGCGTAGCTGCATCTGCAACTGCCAATAAAGCATGAAGCCTTTGGTGACTGGATGCTTCCGAGGTTCGCTTTCGCGTGCCTCCAGAAGGTTTGAGGTGGATTTGAGTCTTGTCAGCCCCCGACATGATTGTAGAGTCGGATGGTTTAAAGAAATCCAGGTCAAAGGGGAAACAATATGTCGGAGAAGAAACACAGAAAAATACAGTCCGAAACAGTGAAGTGTGATCAATATTATACATAGGTCAAATCTTCTTCTCAATGCTTAGCAAAGGAAGGAAGCTAAGACTGTCAAAGAAATAAGCCTTTAATTCCTCGTTGGTGAACCTGTACTGAAACACTCCCTGGCATTGCAGTTCCTAAGACACCTGTTCAGCTTTTGCTTCCCTGTTCCAAAAGTTTTGAGTTGGTTTGAAGTGATGCACGGGGAAGAGGTGGATCTCTTGTTTTGACGAGTTTCGTACATCTGACAGGCTATCGTCCCATGTTCAAGTTGTTGCATGGCAGAGTAGAATAAAATCGCTAGGCAGAAGCCGTACGATCAGTGTACAATCAAATGACACTTTTTGTGTGCAGTGCTGTAGCATGGAGTAGCAGTATGAATCTCTGAACGTCCTTTTGTTGCAGTAATATTATCACTATCACCCCATTGCACCCATTTTGTAGATATCGCCCTGCGTAAAGTTAAATGAATGTGGTAATCGGGTACTTGTGGTGGAGGCGATTTTCAAGATTTGGGGTAGGTCTGTGTTCTGGCTGAAGCCTGGGGGTGTCATAATCAACCGACCTAAGGGCCGTCTTTGGAACCTCCCTGCAGGGTTATGCAAGAAACCATTCGAAACCCAATCAAATACAGCAGAACCTGCCGCATCATTGTTAGCACTGCCGAGTTAGCGACAGAGTACGGCATACGTACTTGACGGGCATCACTTCTCACCTCTTCCCAATAACTTTTGCAAATTAAGTGGAACTCAAATGCTAAGACTGGGCTGTAGCCATGGTCAGCGTTTGGGACCGAAGACCAAAAGTAAGTTACGTAGTTACTTAGCAGGTCTCACATTCTGGGTAGCCCGAATTTTAAACTCAATATTTCCGACATTGCATGCATCAAATGCAACGCCATTTGCTTATTCCGACATAGACACGGACTACGTATTCTAACCTCGACATCGACATGGACATCTCACACATGACACATGCAGAAACGTCGTGAAGGAGCAATTACGTAGTATAGCCACCGGCTCGCCGGTACTACCTATAATCAATGATGCAGTAGTTAAGAGCAACAGTAACAAGCATACAGCCAGCAATGTCACCAGGTGCTATTTCCTCTGATTATGCACTTCCTCCTCATTATTGTCTGTGTCAGCCTGTCAAATTGGAGTCTACAGGTGTCTCAGCTCCACTCATCGGGAATAATACTTATCAATTTGTCCCTGCTGTTCTCAGACCCAACTGAAGCCAATCATGAGCATTCATTTTAGCCTCCCGATCAACAGATCGCCACATTTTGTGCATGCTCAGGCTAGCGGTTCGTGCCCTGCCAAGGTGGAGGAATGGATCAACCTGATTTGCTGCGAACGACCCAGAAGCTGCATATTCCTGATTCGTCTAGACTTTTGGTCGACTGGAGTCAGATGAGCAAGCCTGCTCACCGCTGCCGCATTAGTATGACATGGTAACCTTATCCCATACCGATCTTCCTACCTGCCGCTGATCTCGAGCCTTTCCTGTGGCTTTTCGATCAACGCTGCTGCAAACGAGCACACAAATGGGGTGCTATCAATTAGTCAAGTACGTTGCATATGCACAGTAACTTACCTCGTGGGCACATGTCACTTAAGTTACTCAAGTACCGTCCTCCAGCCCGTCTCATGGCGTCTGTGATTTAGGGGAAAGGGATTAAAACGCGGAGTTGCTCCCTCATCGGTGTATCTCTACTGCCCTTTTTTCCTTCATGTCGCTGAATCCGGTACTCTTCTCCGGAGAATTGTAATTTGATTGAGCTACCTTCAAAACAGCCGCGTTGAAGATGGATCCTACTGTCCTTGCTGCAACCCCTGCTGGCACTCCTCCACCAGGAGTGGTGCCGGATTTCGCCAATGCTGAAAAGTACGGGATGCATTGGTGGATAGTCGGCGTCGTTGTGGCATCCATGATCGTGTCGACGGTAGTGGTGGCCTTGCGGTTGTTTGCAAGAGTGGTCATCATAAAGACAGTCGACTGGTCTGATTGTGGGCCTCAATGACCTTTGGTGCTTTGATACTCGAGTGCTAACCACCAGCAGACCTCACTATTCTTGGATGGGTACATCCTCCCTGAGCTGCAGAACTTCTCATACTGTGACGAAGTGTCCACCCAACTAACAAAACATCAGATCTTTACTATGTGCTTCATGGGTGGCAGCTTAGGGATCGATGACAAGCGTCGTGGCCGTCATCAATGGGAAATGTCGCTTCAAGACTACTTACAGACCACGGAGGTAGGCATCTCCGCTGCATCAGTGTCTTGAACATTATGTGCTCACCATTTCCAGCTCGAGAACATCTCCTCAATGCTGTACTGCATCGGGATCATGTTCTCCAAGCTTGCCATTCTCTTTCTCTTCATGAAAGTCCTCGTACCTGTCCATGAGGGCCTTATCTACTGGGTCAATATGACTCTTATCTGGACCAACGCAGCTTTCTACCTTGGTGGCCTGGGTGGCCTGATCTGCCGATGCATTCCACGAGCGAAGATCTCGCAACCATGGCTGCCCGGACGGTGCACGAACGTATACCTCGCGTTTCTGCTTAGCGGCTATTGGAACGTGATGTCGGACTTTTTCATACTGGCGTTTCCGATGTGGGCCATCTGGAGACTGCGGATGCCATTGAAGCGCAAGTTCGGCGTTACCTTTGTATTCGCCGTTGGGTTTTTGTATGTCCTTCCCCCTTTTCTCCTGCCGCAATACCTGCGATGCTGACATGTGCTACCCTGTCAGTGCTCTTCTTTGCAGCATCATGCGTCTGCACGCCACTTCCCAGATTCCCAACAACTCGGACCTTATCTGGATCATCGGTAAAGTCGGGATGTGGTCGTATGTTTGCTTTAGATCACCGTCTCTAACCTCAGAGCTAATCCAATCACTAGGAGTGCGGAAATGTGTACTGTCCTCCTCTGCGGTTGCTTCCCTTTCCTTCCCAAGCTGGTTCGCTCTTCAGAAGACTCAGGCTTGGGCACAACGGCCAGACCAAGCGTAGAAAATCTTAATGGCTACATTTGCAACAAAGCCTTCTCGAAGCCATCAATCGGCACCATTTCGGAGGTAGAATACACGACAAGCGGCGAAGTAGGGCACGTGTTACCACAGCTCATGCCTACGTGGAAGTCACCCAACAAACGAGATGATATATATTCGCCCGTGTGAGACGACTGATAGATGTTGCTTGGAGCACTCAAGGGTCGTCATGGACTTGACATGAAGTGAGACGAGAGAAATACATGAGAGGCATAATGCAATATACCGTGGGAAGAGTTGATACTGGAGAACTATAGTCTTGGTCCAGGACATTGGATTTATGATAACAACGAAGAGAGGCAAGTCTGCGCTTCTTGGATACGTTTCATCCATATGCACGACTATTTTCCATAAGCAACCATCCCGTGTATTTTTTCTAACATCTTTCTCTTCAATATCTACCGTGACTGATGAAGCTTTCACTGTAGCCCCGATTTGACTGTACTCTTATGTCTGATCAGCTCTTCATTCCCGTCCACATAAGAGTATAGTCATGAGTCTGCTAGTCTGAGCCTTTCTTGTCCCGCTCATCTCCTGCTGGCTAATCTTCCACCTTCTCACATCTCGGCAACTTGAGTTTATGAATATCTTCGATCATCTTCAGGCCAGTCTTTCCCCGTCCCATCATCTGTCTTCGCCATACCATACTCCAACGTGACTCGTTTCTGGCATGCCATACCCATTCATTTAGGATAATTTATTTTGTACAGGTTGCATTTGTCTTCCTCATAGCTGGAGCAAAAACTTGATATCCTCTCGAATCCTCTCCTTGTATGCCTTTGTCTTGTTGGGCGAATTTGTCCACTCAAGAGCAAAATATGTTGCTATAGATGGAGAAAAGCTTTAGCGAGGATTGTTGATGCCCGAGCTAACCACCTGTTTATAACTATCGGAGTACTCCGTACTTATCAAGGTTCAACAGCCAAGTTGGCCATGGCCCGTACCGTATGGTACTTACCATCATGCAATTTCCGGGGGCAGGTTCCTGGCATCGAACCCTAATTTATAATAAGCACTTCAACTCATAACACCCCTATCTTCTACGCTCATATCAAGGGTCTGAGGCAGGGATCAAGAAATGCTAGCCGATCCCAATACAATGTCAGAACTTCAAGAGCGCTTCCATGCACAACAGCCTGCTTGGCCTTTAACCTGGTTGTCTAGGTCGAAACTTTGCTGATGATCGTCCACGAGACACAAACAGCCTATCTCACAAGGCTGGACTGCTCACCTTGCAGATCTAACTGGTTAAGGTAGCCTGTGCTGGCCGTTGGCTCTCGGACCCTGATCCGCAAGCCAATCACAACAAAGCGTGGATTCATGTCAATACAAAAACATTTTCTAAGGCTGGTAGCTCTAGGTCCCATGGGCCATAGCTTCCAATGCCTGCCCCCTCCGTCTTCCGTTTTTCAATTCACTGAGACATCTGGTTTCAGACCACGCTATTGTGCTTATCAGTCAATCGTCCATAGTGGTTTGAGCAGGGGTGAGCTTCCTTCGTCCCGCTTCCGAAGGAGATCTCCTTCACCTCACATCCACCTTTCTATCCAGTAATGTGGCGCCAGCGGCAGTGAGAATGCTGTCTGCATTACCAATTGATGAAGGAAGGAACCGGAAGTGAGCGAATCCTTCTCAGGTGGGAATATTAAAGGTTTCATATGTTGTTCGTTCCCTCTCGTTTCCCCTTGAGGTTCAAATTATATTTGTCTGCGTTGTTGCTTTAGCGGAAGCCATCACATTGAATGTTTGACCTGCCTTTGTACAGCCGTTGTGATTTTGCTTACAGTCAAGATACTGCCCTATCCTGTAACCCTTCCAGTCTTTGCTTCACTATTGAGCCTTGCCAGCTGCCAGGACTCGTAAGTCTTCCCAACTCACAACTCTTCGAAGAGTACCAACTAACCTTTCTTACCAGCCTCAGCCTCAGCACCAGCACCAGCACAAATCCACTAACTCCCTCCTCTTTTCTTCTTCTTCTTCTTCTTCTTCTTCTTCTTCTTCCTCCTCCTCCTCTTCAGTACCCCTATCAGTCAGCACAGACGGCAGCTGCGGCCCCGGCACCACCTTCATCTGCCTTAGCAGCCACTGAGGCGATTGTTGTTCACCCAAGAGCTGGTGCGGACGTGACGTTGCGTATTGCGGCGCCGGATGCCACAGCAAGTTCGGCAACCACCATATTACCCTAATCTTCCTCCAACGGCTCCTCTGCCACAATATCAATCAGTACTGATGGCTCCTACGGAGGTAACACAGGCTTTATCTGTCTGGGCAGCACATTCGGAGACTGTTGCTCCGAGAAAGGCTACTGAGGTGGCAAATCCCCGTATTGTGCTGCTGGATGTCAGAGTGAGTTTGAACACTGTGGTAGCGGGGATACGAATCAGACTGTGCAGATCAGCACAGATGGCTCCTGCGGCGGAGAAACGGGCTCCACATGTCTAGGCAGCGAATTCGGCGACTGTTGTTCCGCCAAGGGCTGGTGCGGCGGCAACTCTTCATATTGCGATATAGGATGTCAGGGTAGATTCGGGAAGTGCTCACCCGCACCCGCATCTACTAACTCGGCAACCTCGATAAGTGAGACAGCAGCAGCAGCAACCGCAGCCTCCTCCCCAGCTTCCGATCCCCCAGTGCCCACTGTACAAAGCGCAGACTTTAAAGCCGGCATCGCAGTCGCTTCTACAGTCGCTTCCACCGCGCTCCTCTCGCTGGCACTTTTCCTCTTCCGGCGACGCCAACGCCTGAATAACAACAGCCAGAAGTCGGTTGATGCTGTCGAAGCGCCCTCGGAAAACGGGACCGGAAGTTCGGGTCCTGGTGGGAAGGTATATGCATCCGAACTGTCGACGGTAGGCTATTATCAGGAGATGCCGAATAATGAAAAGGCGAGGACGGGGTGTTAGGATCGAGGAGAGGGGAGCTGAGAACTGAAAATGATAGAAAAAAGGGTTGGATTGAGATGAGATGAGTTGAGTTGAGTTGGATATGAGTAGAGATGTCAAGAGGAAAGAGGGGATGGTTCTTCACATATCGAAGTCTACCTATCTATCTATCTATCTATCTACGCTAGACAGGTAGAGCCGTGTACATACGGTCTTTTTCCGGCACATACGAACAGCTTGATCCAAAAAAACAGGAAGGGAGGATGGATACCCATGAGCAAGCGAGATTTCTGTACACTGATACTATACTATCGCTTTGTCCCCGGAGGGGATGTGCCACCCCTTGTCCGCCATATAACATACTTAATCGAATACCCAACAACTCTCTCTCCATCACTCATCCATCCATCTCCCAACCAGCACCAAGCCGCCCACTCAGTCCTCTGAATCTGCGAACTCTGATCTACACACTGATTCAAAGACCAAAGAACGTCCTTCCCATGCGCCTCGCTTCCCCTTCAGCGAGATCAAGATATCATCTGGGTAAGAAGCCGCAAGAGCAAACCAAACCAAACCAAACCAAACCAACGTAGAACAGCCGCAGGCCGTATGCCGCCCTTCCCAGTCATCACCTAACTAATCGACCGAACCAACCAACTGTACATACATTTGCCATCTACCAACTCTACCCATGGGCCGTCAGTCATTTCAAATGAGCAACTTAAGACAGAAGTTTGAGGGNNNGGGGGGGTGGAGGCTTTGTTTCACGGTGACTGTATTACAACTTTACCCGTACTGATCTACGGATGGATGGATGGCTCGCTCTTTCTTTCTCAGTTTACGGGAAAATGGAGGGCGGGGATTGCTTGCTTCCTCTAGTCGTAGGGAGAATTTGTTCTCGAGCGGAGCCAAGACGGTGGTTTTGGGGGCAACGGAAAAGAGCCGCCTGACGGTTTCTGCGTCACCGTCTCTGGGTTGAGTCGAATCAAGACATGGTGGGTGACCCATGTGATGTCGTCTCAACAGTGGTCTCCCCCTGGAATTAATCATACAATGGTTCATCCCGCTCGGCATACTGATCCTCGCCTCTTTCCTCCATTCTCTAACCCCCTACAACACCTCTCCAACAATCTTCGCTGCCTCCTTATAGGTAGCCAGCAACTTTTCACACTTCTCTCTCTCCTTCTTAATCCCGTCATCCTCATATAGTAGCTCTCCAAATAGATCCTCACGATACAGTTCGCTCACCAACCGGTTCTGCACTTCGTCCCTGCTGTGGTTGACTAAAAGGTGCATAACGGCTTTGGGCACCTGATCGGCGATGGTTTCGCGCACGATATTGAAGTAGGATGAGATGAGGCGGCGAATTAATTCGGTTTCGAGGGCTTCGCGCTCGGTTAGGGCTGGTTCGGCGGATTGTTCGGGCTGAATTGGAGGAAAGGTTAGTTTGCAGGCATTTGAGATGGAGTGCTTGGTTAGAACTTACGAACAAGGAGTCACCATACTCGGAATTGGCTGGGTAGTCGTCCATATTGGTTGGGAAATTTGGGACTGCTGGAGACCGCTCAGCTAAGCTGGATCTCCCTTCCGTCCGTCGGATACTCTGTGCAAAGCTTGGCTCGGTGCTATGGCTGACATGTCTCGCACCCATAGAGGCTGCGCTAGGAAGTGGTGGACCAGGTTGAGGCAATCCTCCCTCTTTCCCAAAGAAGTAGTTCAAGAATGAGTCTCTGGTTGTACCAGGAGCTTGCCCAGCAGCGCCTGAATAGTTCGCATGGCCATTTTCTCGCGCTGCAACTGCTGGAGACATGCTGCGGCCAGCTCTGGCGGGCTGACCTCTGACTGGCAGGTTTTGCACCTTATCCTCGTGCTCTTCCTCTTCCTCAGGGGTCGCCGCTCCGTTCACACCGAGTTCCTTCATCCGTCTCCGTTCCCGTTTCCTACGTTCGTCAAGTTGTGCTGCCTTTTTGTCCTTCTCGTTCCTACTTTGGATCACAGATGACATTGCGGCTGCCGCACCAAGGAAATTGGGATGGTTTGTGTTGATGTAGGCTCGCTGTATGGAGATCAATGATTCGACATAATTTGAGCAAGGACCGAGCCTTTCTCGGAGCAAGTCAGACACTACTTCGATCAGTTTGCCTTGCAGACGTGGGAATCGCGAAAGCTCATTGGAGCCGCAAGTGTGGCAAATTTTGATCAGCTCTTCGTAAACAAGCTCAACACACCGCTGACTGGGTATTTCGAGAAGCTTGATTTGTGGCTTAACAAGCAGGTCGAAGGCGAGCTCTGGGACAAATAGACTAGGTCGAGGTCCGGTAGAGTTGCGAATTGCCGTTCGAATATCGAGGACAGAGAGGTTTTGAGTCGGATCAATGGTTTCGAGAGAATTGCCAAACACGGAATTAAAAATGTAGTATATTCTAGCACCACCGCAAAGCTCTTTGGTTGAAATCTCCGATGAAGTCCCGTCGATAGATGTGATGAAAGACGTAGCAAATCGTGTCATCATTTGAAGGATCAGAGAACCTCGATGTTCTTTGCCGCTGAATTGCTTGCTGCCATAGCTTGCCAATTCTTGTTGTGTCTGGCCCATGAGGGTGTTCAACCTCGCTTTGATGTCTGGTAACCGATCCCGAATATGCGACATCAAGGTGGTATTGAGGCTTTTGGCCAGGTATTGAGTACCGCATCTCGTAGCCATATTCCTGTAAGCCGGGTGATGTCTAAAGAAATCCGCCTCTGATTTGAGTGCTTCAGAAAGCGGCTTGTCGCTCTGTATATCTTGCTGCGAACGATTAACCACACCAATGAACCCCAGCTTCAAAGGATAGACCCTCCCCGAAAGTATATCAAGTGCGTTTGTGCCGTGATCCATCAAATCTAGCTTGGTTAAGATTCCGATTGTCCTCCGACCCATTGGATCAACATATCGAGCCAGTTTCAAGGCTTCGGAATTGACAATATCGACGTTGGCAGGTGAAACGGCCAAGATGATGCTGTTCGGTTTTGCGATATATTCGGTAATGAGTGTCCTCGTCTGCTTCTCAATGTCTGTTGGTTGGTCGCCTATGGGGACCTTGGTCAAGCCAGGCAAGTCGACAAGCGTGAGGTTTAGGACATGAGGAGAGAAAATTTTGAGATTGATAGGCTGCCTGTTGATGCCCTTATTATTTCCGGCTATCCTTGCGGTTTCGTTCTCGATTTCATGCTTGACCTGGCGAAAGTCCCTGAATTTACGCCCCGGAATGTGGTGAAATTCGGCCCATTCTCCTTGCTCCGCAACACTTGCTGGCGTATGAGGAATATGTACTTCGTCACTGTCTGGTGCATCGTCCTTCTCGCTAGGGATGTTGATGAGCTGAAGAATCAGCGGCCTTCTGGTGACGATGCCGCTACCTCGGGGCAGAAAGTCTCTGCCGACGATGTTCTCGAGTACGGAAGACTTGCCGGAGGACTGAGAACCCACAACCACCTGTTCTTCCTGTCAGCGCATTGTGCATATGCATCCTAGCACTTTGCTGGACTCACAATTTGGGGCAGGTCTAATGAATCGTTGCCGATAGTATTGAAAACGAGATCTTGAAGCTTGTTGACGACCTTCAGAAGATCATCACCAAGACTAGCCATTACCTCCACAGGGTGACGGATGTCGCTAACTTGAGACGTTCATGCAAGAGGACGGCAATGTGATCAAGGTATTCCGGGCTTGATTTTGTATAGATGACGTTTTGACGTGTTTGGCGCACAAGATGAAGAGAGGTGTAAACTGTAGAGTATGCTATGGCAAACGACTGATCTTGTGACAGAAATCCAAATGGGTGAAAGCTGCCTGCGTGCTGATGAACACGAGCGTGGCTAGAATAGGACTTGTTCCTGGCAGATGAAAGCTCCAAACATCGGGATCTGCCACCACCGATGAGCCCTCTACCACAACTACTAGCAGGACTCTACCCACGTCTTCATGCCAAGACTGGTGTGCAGGAATGACGTCGCAATAAATACGCAACAGTGACATACTATTGCTACTCAAACAAGTTCCTTAACGAATGCAGAAATCGAGGACATAGGTTGCCGGGAATACTACAACAATACCACCATGCATCTACTTCATTACAGTATCATATTGCCTCTCAGCCTTTCTCAATACGTCTCATCTTCTCCCTCTGCTCGCACACAGCAGATCACCCTCTCAGGGAGCACTGGAACTGTCTCTTCCATCCATGATGCATTGACATATAGCTCGGTCATCCCCGATGTACTTGATGAGTTTGAGGCTACCTATTCCGTCTCCATTGAATATCCGAAATCTCATGAATCCGTTCAGCTTGGAAACGACATTCCCGTAAAGTCTGTCTCTTCTCGGCCAGCTTTCGAGTTTCATAGCATCTCAGCTGAAGGTGGTACTCCTGGGTCAAGCCACAAGTCGTTCACGCTAATCCTTACTGATCCTGATGCCAAATCTCGTGACAAACCAAAATGGAGCGAGATGTGTCATTGGATCGTGACGAACTTGACGGCACCAGTGACCGGTGCAACAGGGGTCTCGATGAAGAATGAGCTGGTTGAATATCTTCCACCAACACCACCACCAAAGACAGGCAAACACCGATACGTCTTCGTGCTGTTAGAGGGGCAGCAAGGGCAAGCATTGAGCGCGCCAAAGGACCGAAAGCATTGGGGATATGGCAAGAAAAGACATGGTGTGCGCGACTGGGCTGAGGAGAATGAATTGAGCGTTGTGGGAGCGAATTTTTTCTTTGCCGAAGATGAGAAGCAGTAAAACACGGAGGCAGATGCCCGAAACCAATGGGGTGAAACCTGCTTTTTAGCCAGGATCACGCCAACAAGTGATCCCAAAACACGCTTTGTGACGGTCATGGGCTGCAGGTTTTAGCGGTCTATGATTATAGCAAGATAATTCCTTTTTCCAAAATGCATCGGGCAGTCAAGGTCTGGCTTCTATGATATTACCACTTGACTACCTTGCCACTGTTGGAATGCGCCCATCCCTGCGTTTGTTGCCTCTGCGGCCTCTTGAGTCTGATAGCTCCGTTCTCGCCCTGCCATGTTACAGCTCTTTCTTTGCATGATGCTTTGGTTTCGAGCCAGCTCTTTGAGCTGGTACAGCATAAAGACCGCCTCCAATGAAGACCAAAAATGCACCGAAAACCACGCCTGGCGCTAGACTATTCCCGAATAGCCATATAGAGAGTATCAGGCTGATAAGCTTTCGCACATTAAGCACGATGGTGACGGTAAGAGAAGAGCTGCGAGCAGAAAGCAAGTTGACGCCTCTTATGCAGAGGTACTGCGTCATACCATTCAGCAAAAGCATGACCAGCTGAACAGGTGTCCTCGCCAGCAACTGGTGAAACATGTCAGGCACTAAGACTTGATGCTGAGCTGCCATAAAATTGGTCATCGAGGGTGATGATAGAAGTGTTTGGGACTGTGTCATTAGATCCGGCCAGTACAGCATGAAGAAGGGCAGCGAAAGAGTATGACTGTAAAAAAGGTTCTCCCTCCAGTGATCTCGGCCATATTTGGCGTATGTTCGATCTGTGTAGACGCCCATAACTGCCGAGCACAGCATCGCTAGGTAAAGAATACCAAAACCAACAATGAAATCGGATTGGGACGTTGTGCCAGACTGAACGAGGGATATTTGCGCTCCCTTGGACGCGGCATCTGCAACAGCGGCCTGAACAACACCGAGGAAGAGGAAGGTAACTGCAACGACCTGAAGTATTGAGTAACGTTTGCCGGACAGGTAGCCCACCGCCATCGTGAACACTGGGCCAGCACTGCGAAGAATGATGTGCAGAGGTATGGAAATCTTGTAGTCGAAGGCTTTATTGTTGAGCATATTGATTGTCAAGAACATGACTGTATACAGAAGCCATCTCTGAAGAGGGATAGCACGAGGTTTCAGGTAGAGATTTCTGATGCCTCTGGAGATATCCACATGACGTCTCAGGTTGAACAAAGATGTCAGGAAGAACTGTGTACATGTAATCAAAGTACCACTGCCCGGTGCCTCTTTGACGATAGCTTCCAGTGCAAAAGCATTGGCACAACACCCGCCAAAGATGAGACTTATCATGGCTATGATATTGATCCACTCCGGCATGGTTACATGAGCAACGGCATATGCAGATGATTTCGACGCCTCAGATGGTTCGACGACATCATTCATCTTATCTTCACTCTTGGACTGGTTCTCCTCGACAGATCCATTTGCACGATCGATGATAGTACGGTCAGAGCTGGGCGCCATTCAGCGTAGTGTTCAATCTCAGATGTGAGACTTTGGGCGGGCACTTTATTGTCCTTGCGATTGAGTAGTATCCACTCTGGTGTACTTCCTTCGTGAATCTCAGAAGTGATTATGTCATGGTCATGGAGTAAGACCTTTGACTAGAAAGGGGATATTAACAATAAAAATATATTCAGTACCTCGGTCGGTTAAATCTCGGCTCTTTGTTGGTTCGTCAAGCTGAAACTAGACAACCTCATCTTTCTGGAAATAGCTTGTAATCCATCATAAAGAGGAGTGCTCTGCAAACCTGACAAAGCTTGAGTACAATGGATCACTCTCATATGGATCACGGAAAGATGGGACACGGCGACATGGACATGGGTGGCCAGTGTAATATGAATGTACCAAACGCCCTTCCGTCTCCAACGAGTCCTTCTCAGTGTTGATATCCTCCAGATGCTCTTTACTTGGTCCAACAAAAACCTGTGCATTGTGTTCCGCCAATGGCGAGTCACTGGGCCACTATCTCTGATATTGAGTCTACTTGCCATCGCTCTCCTTACTGCGGGATATGAGTTGGTCCGGCAGATTTCACGAAACTACGAGCAGAAACATGATGCTAGGATGAAAGCCTACATGGATAGAATACCGAGTACGTTCATCTAAACACGTCCGCCTTTGCAAGCAGTTGGAAATTGCTAAGAAGATGATTTGGGATAGATGGCCAAGAGGATGGAGCACAAGAATCGAGCTTACCGCTTTTGGTAGGGAAGGACAGTAAGAAAACTGCTCAAAGAAATGGAACTCTGGTCAAGGCGGGCTTGTATGCTGTTCAAGTTTTCTACAGCTTTTTCATCATGTAAGGATTCCGCCGGAGCCCGTTGCTATACTTGAGTTAATGAGCCTAACCAAGGACACAGGCTTTTGTTCATGACCTACAATGGATGGATCATGTTGGCAGTGGCAGTTGGCGCATTTAGTGGTTACCTGGCATTTGGCTCCGGATTGAGCGCTACGAAATCTGTGGCTTGCCATTGAGAAGCACTTCTTCTCCCTGGGCCTTGGTCATAGCCACAACGTCAAGGAATGTCCTCTGCTTCATCATTTACGAAGTCGAAACTGAAGCCTCCTTTCTCAGCAACGCTGGTCTTGTCTCCTCTTTCTAGAAGTTGTTCCCATTTTCGCTTTTTAGTATTTACTACGTGTGGCTGCTCGTGCTGCTCGAGCATCTCAGAGTGATTCAGTTTCAATTTGTCGAGAAATAGTCGGTACGGGTCCTTGACATCGTTGCCGAATCCTGAAACCTGGGTCGCCTTCTTTTCAAGAAAGTCCAGTGCCGATTTGAGATGAGAGCGTGGAATGAAGTTTTGCGTGATAGCGATAGCAGACTCGAGATTGACCACTAGGTGCCACCAGCCTGAAGGGACATGCAATACCTCTCCCTCATGGCATATCCCTTCGACGCAGCCGCCCATGCGCCTCGCTTCTTCGTGGAATGTTAAGAGCCACTCTGCTATACTCAGAGGACTAGTAACCTCACTTTGATCTTCGGAGACAAACACTCCTGGGGGCAATATCGAACCGGGAAACATGATCCAATATTTCGAACCTCGGATAACGGCGTTCCACGCACTGGTAGCATTAGGATCTTTGTGGAAAGTACTCCCGCTACGTTCTGGCCCAATGATTAGCCACCGGCTATCTGGTCTCTGCTCGCCTAGTACAGCGAAGAGATCATCTCCAAAGCATTCAGGTGGCGCGTATGCACCACCTTTTTCACCAACCGAGAGGTTCATTTTTCGGATAAAATCCTTGTCAAACAGGTATAGCGGACTCTCATCGTGCGTATTGTTCATATACTCGATGTAGGTACTCAACGGCCAGTCAACCGCCTCCGCACGAAACTCAACATGTCCGTATCTATCGAGCAGGGCTTCCTGACACCACTTACTGAACACGGGCCATTTCTTAACAGGGTTGGTTAAGATGAACGGTCGATCGTTCCAAGAAATCGAGAAATCTGCCTGGCAGAGATCAGGGAGGCGTGGAATACGATTTGACGAGGGTATCCCAGATGCGAATTGTGAAAGATTGATTTGAGAGCAAAAGAAAGGTCGGTAGATGGTGTCTGAGTACAGCCTGCAGTCAATCGGCGGCACATCCGGCGATCGGCGTTCGAGGTAAGTCGCTCTCCAGCTTCCACGCCACCGAGGTCTCAGACGACCGTCCCGAAGCAACAAAGCCTTCCACAAATCATCGCTCGAAGTAAATGCAAAGAAAGCCCGGCAAGTCCTTCCGAGTGTTAGAAGATCAAGGTCCTCGAGCCATTCGAGAATGACCAAGATCAGCTCATCCGGCAATGTACCAAGGGTCCCTATACAGTCACGAGCATGCACAGACGATGAGGTCCAAGCGTTTCCACTCGGCCTGACTCCAAGAGGATGCGCTTGGATTTGAGGCTCGGAGGGAGTCAACTCCTCGTCTAGGTGTTCTGGACAAGGATTGAATCTCTTAGGAGTCAGAGATGTTGTTTGACGCATGGTCACCCGTAGGACGAGAGAGGCACACGGATTTCAAACAGACAGAACCAGACGAGGTAGGCTCTTCATTGGCCGTGGGAGGTACTACATTAGTGTAGTGCTATTATTTGTCTAAGTTAGATGGTGACTCTTAAAGGGTGACTCGTTTGCAAGGTCCCCATATGTGGAGAACAGAGAACGAGAACGAGAAGGAGGTGCTCAAGGGGCGCTACTAAAAAAGCTGCGGCGCTAGTTCAAATGAAGCTTAGCCTGATCGTAGGGTCCGCCAGTCGCAGATAAAAATTATCTTCGCCGCAACTTCTTCGCTGCTTTCCACTTTTCACCAACACTGAAATTTACCAGCAAGATTACACCTGTACTAGATTTCCCAGGCTCTTCTTGCAAGAGTCTCGTTTCTAGTCTTAGCAAAAACCCATCTGAACTACCGTGCGCTGTCGCTGAAGACTGCGCCGTTCGAATACCGACCCCACTACACAAACGAAAGATCACGGCACAGCGCCTGTGATCTTGTCTTTTTCTCATTGCAATCATGGCTTCCGGCGACAAAGGTCTTGAGGATCTTCAAGACAGTATGTTTCTCAATATCGAGGCCGAGCCTGTTCTTTCCAGTGCTCTTTTTTTGTTCCGCGGAAGAGAAATCCGCCCCTCTATTCCCAACCAATTTTGCTGACGCTCAAATTCAGGCCAGATCGAATCTAACTATGATGAGATCACTGATTCCTTCGATTCTATGAACCTCAAGAGCGAGCTGTTGCGCGGTAAGTGAAAACAGGGAAGACAGAATATCAAACAGGGCTGATGATCGTCACAGGTGTTTACGCCTATGGTTTCGAGCGCCCATCTGCTATTCAGCAGCGTGCTATCATGCCTGTGATCAAAGGTACGGACTTGTATCAATCTCAAGCAAGTACCTTTTCTTCCGCTAACTCAAATGTGCAGGATCCGATGTGATCGCACAGGCACAGTCCGGAACTGGAAAGACGGCCACATTCTCAATCTCGGTCCTCCAGAAGATTGATCCTCAGCTCAAGGCCTGTCAGGCTCTGATTCTTGCGCCAACTCGAGAATTAGCTCAGCAAATCCAAAAAGTCGTTGTTGCGATCGGAGATTTCATGAGCATCGAATGCCATCCGTGCATTGGTGGCACGAATGTGCGCGAAGACATGAAGGCTCTTCAGGATGGTCCACAGGTCGTTGTTGGAACACCTGGGCGTGTTCAAGACATGATTCAGCGCCGAGTGCTCAAAACGGACAACATGAAGATGTTTGTGCTTGACGAGGCTGACGAAATGCTTTCGGTGAGCACTGTGATTCTGTAAGATGGTTCTTCGTACTGACATGCTCTGTAGCGTGGTTTCACCGAGCAAATCTACGACATCTTCCAGCTCCTCCCTCAATCTACCCAAGTCGTCCTCCTGTCAGCAACGATGCCGCAGGACGTTCTCGAAGTCACTACCAAATTCATGCGCGACCCAGTCCGTATCCTGGTCAAGAAGGCCGAACTCACCCTTGAGGGTATCAAGCAATTCTATATTGCTGTCGAGAAGGAAGACTGGAAACTGGACACCCTCTCAGATCTCTATGAAACCGTCACCATCACCCAAGCCGTTATTTTCTGCAACACGCGTAGAAAGGTGGACTGGCTTACGGACAAGTTGCAGTCTCGTGACTTTACCGTGTCCGCCATGCATGGAGATATGGACCAAGCTCAACGCGATGTCATCATGAAAGAATTTCGTTCGGGTTCATCCCGTGTGCTCATCGCCACTGACCTTCTGGCCCGCGGTATCGATGTTCAACAGGTGTCTCTTGTCATCAACTACGACCTTCCTGCCAACCGCGAAAACTACATCCATCGTATTGGTCGTGGCGGTCGATTCGGACGAAAAGGCGTTGCCATCAACTTCGTCACCCAGGACGATGTTCGCATGATGCGTGAGATTGAGCAGTTCTACAGCACTCAAATCGAAGAGATGCCGATGAACGTTGCTGGTAAGCCCCACTGCAGATGCTCCGTGGCTGGTTGGCAAGACTAATGTTTGATGCCAGATCTCATCTAGAAAATGCCTGTCTCTTGAACCACCGTCGTCGCTCCTAGTCGTGGCATTCTGAAGGCGTTTGTTCGCGTTGAGCGTGTTTGCAGTTTCATGGGCAAAGTGGGATGAAGCTCCTACCTTGACCGCTTGGCTCGAGAGACTGTTTCGACTCGGCTTTTTCTTTCATTACTGCGTTCGCGCGTGAGCAGATCAGCTGTCATTGCTCCAAACTCTAGACTGCGCTCGACCCGTCGAGCGTTTTCATTTGAGAGAGGGGTGATGTGAGTGTTTGGTTAATTCATTTGCACGGAGATACCAAAAGTTTCTAATGTGCGAATGATGAATACGACATTAGCAGATGTCATGTGCTTCTCTTGCGATAGAATAGAAAATGCAACTTCTCTTTGAAATTGTTGCTCTTGTGGTGTCTGAAGGAAGGGTGGCCCCATCCAAGAGTAAGAGTGAAAGTTTGGTGATTCTACCATGTCCCTCCCATCACCATCACGGAACATTTTCCACCTCCTTACATTGCATCCTTATTCCCATACCTTTCCCTTACCTTTCTCATATTTCTATCCTACAGTCGATGGCAATATCCCCCATCCATTTCCGCCACCAGCCCGATGGCGCCGCTGGGACTTACCGCCGACGCCAACCACAACGGCTCCCCGATCTCGCTCCTCTGGGCGCACCAGCTGCGACGCGAACACGCCGCCATCGTCGCCCAGCTCGACGAACTCAAACGCCTCTACCCTCCTTCTGCGGCTTCCGAGCTGGACAAGCTGGTCGCCCGGACCGAGAGAGCGGAGGCTGCTTACGCCGAGATCAGGAAGGAACTCGTGGCGTTGAAGGGTGCGCAGCAGGAGACTGTGAGGGGTCTGGAGGGGTTGGAGGGGAGGAGGGAGGAGGAGATGGAGGGAGGGAAAGAGAGGGAAGAGAGGTTCAGGGTTGAGATTGAGGGGTTGAAGGGGCTGCTGATGAGGCAGGGAGGACAGTTGAGTGCGCTTGTGGACGCGGTGCGGAAGGTGCAGCGTCGGGTTGAGGAGAGGAGAGATGGAGTGGTGGAGCAGAAGCTGTTGCGGAACGAGGAGGAGATTTCAGAATTAAGGCGTCTGGTTCAAGCACTTGAGCAGAGGGTCGGTGATGCTGTCACTGTCGTCAGGGACAGTGTTGGATGTCGTGATTCGGATGGTGAGATGACGGCTGGATACATAGCCTCACTCCTGTGAGCGCTGGCATTGAGAGCTGACGAGCTGCAGAAGGACCACCTGCTGCTGTTCCTCCTCCTCCGGCAGAAGATGTCTCCGATGCAGAATCCTTCGACCTGGACGCCAACGTACCACTCGTCGCTCCTGCTGCCGCCTCAGGACCCGTCCTCGGACCATCGCTGGCCATGATCAAGGAGCCCACACTGCCGAGACATTCGCAACGACTCCGACCGCACCAGCAGCCCGAGAAGATGGGAGACTCGATGGCGATGCTGCCGGAGCCATCATTACCGCCTCTCCCTCCGCAGCAACCACTCATGCCCAAGACCCGCCTCCCCGCGCCCCAAGTCGCAAAACCCGACATCAATCTCATCCAAGGCCGATCCGCCCTCTCCGCCTACATCCAGATCGCCGACTCCCAATTCGAAGACACACCTCCTGCCGCGGAGGCAGTGTTCGTAGACGCCTTCGTCCATGGACTGCGCGATAAGCGCGACCGAAAGAAATGCGACAAGAAGTTTAGAGATGGGGTCAAGACGTGGGAGGGCTTGAAAGAGTGTTTCCCCGTCGCCTCGCAGATTTCGCAGAAGGCTGCTAAGAGGAAGGGGGAGTTGCATGTGCGGAAGAGGAGGGTGGTGAATGCGATGGAGACGAGAGCAGCGGCGGGGGGTGGTCCAATGCCATCTGCCTGCGAATCGGGAATGGAGAACGGGGGAGAAGATGCGATGGAGGTTGGAGATATCAGGGATGGCGATCCAGTGCCGTCAGCAGCCCGGAAGAGGATGGATATCAGGAAGGGTCAAGCACCGCCCTCTGCCCGGGCGGAGCAGAACAACAACGAGGCGAAGCAGGACGCGCGAGATGCAGGAAACGCACAAGCAGGAGCCGACTCAACAGCAGCAGCAGCAGCAGCGAGGAAGAGGCCTCTCGCTGAACGGAAAACCGGCCAGGTCGAAAGCACACGTGACGAAGCAGAGCCGGCTGCGAAGAGGAGAAGGACGAAGAAAAGAGGAGCGAGAAGACCGAGAGAGCGGCCTCAGATCCCCATCCTGCCCTCCTCCGATGACGAGTTCTCGCGAAGATGCCGGCGTAGATAGAGACAGCGGCTACCTACCTAGCTCCCCTCTCCATAGAAACCACGTCGCCAATTCCCAACCCCAAACCCCCTTCCCGCCTCCTCCTCCTTCTCCAGATCATGAACACTGAACCCCCCTCCCTCCCATCACGCCTCCTCCCTAAACTCATACAACCC